TACAGAGGGTACAGGACTCCTACCTTCCTGAAGAGAGACTACAGAGGGTACAGGACTCCTACCTTCCTGAAGAACAGCGACAGTGAGCCCTTCCTCAGCGGACTGCTGGCTGGTTTGGCAGCTGGTTTGGTGGCAGCTGATTGGACGGTGAGAGTGCCCGTTAGAGTCTGTGCAGACAGCGGCTGCAGCGTGGCTCCACCCTGCCCGGTCACGCTCACCTGGACTGGTATGAAGGTGATGCCTCCGCTTTCATTGGCTATACCTGCAGAGGTCAGAGGTCAGTGTTTGATATGTATCAATCCTCTTTCACTTTCAGTAGAATGCTTTCAGTCCCTCACCTTGCACAGGTATGGTGACAGTCTGCCCGTTGTTGGCGGTAACGGTAGCGGTTGCCACGGTGACCACAGTCTGCCCGGCTGGGATGGCTGTAACTAGGCCAGCCTGGCCGGTCTTGGTCACGGCGGCCGGTGCTGTACTGGTGGAAGTGACTCCAGGCTCGCCGTCTAGCGGCTCAACAAACAGACGACGACGAGCCGAACCGGCGGGTGGAGAGCTGTACCGGTCCAGCAGGGTGGTGGGGGAGGGGGACACACCTGGAGGGGGGCAGATTATTTTACATTTATAAATCTACTGCACTACTGTTGAGACACCAGGGATTCCTGTTCTGTGGTTTCTGGGACTCACAGACCTTTGACGGTGCTGCTGGTGTTGAGGTCCGGTCCGTGGTTGGGAGTGAGAGGAATGTTGCCTGAGCTGCTTTCATCGTTCTGTTCCAAATACTGAGGAGGCATCACCTGAAACACACAGTCACAGTCTGAGCACCCAACACTGGACACTAACAGCAGCTCGTGTTCTGTACTACAGTGAAACTGAAGAGTGTCTCTGGACCTGCTGGCAGGCAGGAACCTGGTCTTTGGCAGCACGGAGGCTTTCCCACAGCGGGGAGTCGCTGGTCCAGGCCAGGCTCTCCAGAACCTGCTCCTCCACCTGGTTCAGGTGCTTCACCACCTCCCGAAACAGACCCTGCTCGGACCGCACCAACACCTCAATCACCTGCAAACACACACATACACACACAGACAGACAGACAGACAGACAGACACACACACACATTCAGATTCAGATTCAGATTCAGAAATACTTTAATAATCCCAGAGGGAAATTATATAATGATATAATTGATCAACATCACTGTAAGTTAACACATAAACTGACACATTCTGATTCAGGTTGTATTGATACCTTGTAGAAATGATAGGCGGGGAGCTGGAAGATGCCGATCAGGTTGGGGAAGTCTCCTGGAGGTCTGTAGGAGAAGATGACGATCTCCAGACAGCAGGCCAGCAGGGAGCGATGGAAGACGTCCTGCTCCAGAATACACTGAAACACAGATACAGCGTCAGCATGAGCACTACAGACCTTCAGTCTCTGTTAAAGTCTCTCCAGAGGAAACAGTCTCACATAGAAGAACATACTCACCGACAGGTCAGCGTCTCCCAGGATCATCTTTTCTCTCTCAATGATGGACTCCAGGATCCTGTAGTAGAGCGCCTCCGCCAGGTGGAAGTATTTCACTGCCATATCTGATAAATAAGGTTTATTTAGGCAGTGAGAGAGAAGATTTCTATCACATGAAGGTTTCTGTTCATGGGTTTGTGTGCGTGTACCTCTCCCCATCCCCCTGTTCTCTGACCCGCTGCCCTCGAAATGTTGAGAGAAGAGCTCAAACATGTCCTTCAGGCGCTTGCTGATGACATCACTGGGGTCTCTGGCACAGTTCCTGCAGAGATACAGTTTGTGTCATCAGTAAAAGTATCAGCAGTTTACCTTTGTTACTGATATATACGGACAATGATGTAATGGATGTCATGTCGTCCATGTTTTGTGTAACATATGTTCGTATGTTGTTGGAATTCAAGGACTGTACGGCACACGCCTTTCCACCATGACTGGATCCAGAGACGTACCTGAGAGTTTCTGTTAGCTTAGTGCTCGGCCCCTGTTTGGTTCCTGACAGCAGGGTGTGCAGTCGTCCGACACTCTTCATGGCGGACGAGACCGGAGACGCCAAGCTGTTCTCCTGAACGTACTTCCTGCCTGTCAGAGGCGTGGAGACCTTCAGAGCTGAGGCCTGACGACAGGAGAGGTTGGTTATTTGATATTTTTGGATCAGCAGTGAGTGAACGGGCTGTAGTGTAGTGAAGTTTATTGTCTCACAGTGAGGCTGGTGTGGAGCCTGTAGGTGGCGCTGTCCTGGTTCTCCACCCCTTCACACAGGCAGGGCCCCGGGGTACCGATGTCCTCGCTCGCTCCCTCCCCGGTGAAGATCCTCTCGTCCAGACTGCCGGTGGCCAGAATGTGTTCCTCATACACCCGACTGAGAGATAAACTGGACACAGAACAGGAAGCAGAGCGGGAATAAGATGCTGATGTCATGCTGCTTCACTTTAAACACGGACTGTAGGACCACACTCACAAACTGTCTCCAAAGTTCATGGGATCCAGAAAGCCGGTCAGACCCTCCTCTTTTCCTCTGAGGATCTGTGGGAGAGAGAGAGGACGTTTACTAAGTCAGTTAGACTGTTAATGTATTTACAGTGTAAGCTCTGTTAGCTGTGGTGGGCCCCCTCCTCTGATTACAGGAAGTTAACTCTGGTTTATAGAAACGTCCCAGACTGTCCACTCTGTGTCAGCACTGGACTC